TAAAATATAATACTTTTAGACTATTCTCTCCTCCATAGACTTCAATGCCGTAAACATATTTGCATCTTTTTGAGAAAGCGCCATCCATACCCCCTTCCACAGTGGTTGCACCATTTTGCACTCTCACCAACAGTGAATAAGTCTTTCAGGTGTGATCTTATTGCCAGAAAGGAAGTGTGCATGAAGCTGCGTGAAGAGCGCAAGTGTGTGCCCTGATGGTTAGAGCGATTGGGCTTTAAGTACGGTTGTCCTCAGTGTGAAACACTGGCCTGCAGTTGGGATGAAGTAAAAAAGAACCTTGTCACTCTCTGCTTAGTCAAACCATTTTCTCTTCCTTTTTAGGGGTCAAGTGAGCTGCAGAGAGAAACTGGTCAAGTCCATGGAATTAGGGACGTAGGGCCACCTGACCGACTGAGACATTTTAAATCACAAGTAAAGCTTCCAGCTGACCTGACAGGTTGTGGACCAAGCATTCATCTACTTCCATACTGCACAGTGATTTCTTTCTACTTTGTCTTTTTACCGACGTATCCTGTTGGACTTAGAGACATCATTCTCTTAGACTTCCAGAAGTTGGAGCAAGGAAATGGTAAGTTCTGCAGAGAACTAGGCTGTTGTTACTATAAGTGGGTGTATTTTGGGACTGTGGTGCTTCAGTAAAGGAAAAAAGGTGACAGAGTAGCTCTGGTGGCCTAGTGGCAAGAAGTTGTCCTGTAATCCCAGAGGTACGTGGTTCGAATCCACCAAATGCTCTGCTGGAGAAGGAGGGGCAATCTCCTCCTGTACTGTACCAGTCAGATCTGATTTGACAGTACATACACGCAAAGAAAAAAAAATTTAGAAGAAAAAGGTGACAGACAAAGCCAAGATTCTGAGCCCTTGGAGACACCTTATGCCCCTGTTCCTTTGTCACTTGTCTGTTCCTCTATGCATATATGATCTTGAATACTTGGATGACTGGAGTCACTTTCATCATCTGACTCTCAGAGCTGCTTCCTTGGACGTTAACATCCCCAAGCTGAGCCTTGGTGCTTGTGTTCAATCACAGAAACTCTTAACTCTGGAGACTGAGCTCTGGACCTCAATAGCCATCCTTTCCCCGTTTCTCCTAACAGTTTACGACGTGGTTTCCTCAGGCACTGGAGCATTTAGTGTGGAATGTGTGCTCTATAGTCCCACTGTTCACATTGGATAGTGAGTTAGAAAAGGGAGCAGAGAACTGAAGGCTTGAATTTTATAGGGTCTTCAGTGGTGGTGTTCCGTTCCTTATGTCATCAGAAGTATGAAGGGGACACTGAGTCATTTAATTCTATGTGGGTCCCTGGACCTTAACCCTTCCCCCCACCTACTGGTGACTGCTTTTGCCTGGGGGCTTTCAGGTGTGTGGAAAGCACGAATCCCAAATCTAGGTCCTTAGCATCCCTACTATACCTACAGCTGGTATTTAATCCTTATCATTTTATATTACTCTCCATAGTCTTGAATCAGAGTCTAAAATGAAAGTGTTTGGTTTGTTTTTTTTCCCCTTATTTTTTGTGTGCGTGTACCATCAAATCAGATCTGACTGGTACAGGAGGAGATTGCCCCTCCTTCCCCGGCAGAGCATCTGGTGGATTCGAACCCTGTGCCTCTGGGATTGTAGTTGCAGCTCCTTGCCACTAGGCCACCAGAGCTCCCCGAAAGTGTTTGGTTTTGCTGGAGAAAGTCAGCATATGAGTTTTTTGAGTGTACACTTTCTACTGGAAGATAATTTCTAGATCTTTCAGTGTGTTTCTACTGAGGATTTTTCAATTTCATGAACATGAACTTCTGAGAAACAGAGTTGCCTGTTTTAACTCATGTTGTGTACTGTAGAATCGGAACCGACCCATAGCTGACCCTCCGGCGGTATTCCAGAGGCATTTTAATTAATCTAAAAAAAAAAAAAAGGTTAATGTCGGTGCTCTGGTGGCCTAGTGGCAAGAAGCTGTACCGCAAACGCAGAGGTATGCGGTTCGAATCCATCAGATAGATGCTTTGCTAGAGAAGGAGGGGCAATCTCCTTCTGTACCAATCAGATCTGATTTGATGGTAAACACACACACACAAACACACATAATAAGTTAATGTAAAGCATACTTAAATAGTAAGAGGATTGTTAAAAATTCCTGTTACATTTAACAAGTGACTCCAGAACTTCTAATGTCTTAAGTATTTTAGCCATCTTAGAAACATTCTCCCTTAATAGTATGCCCCTTAATAGTATGCATGCTGTAAGACCTGAGGGCCTCTTCCATCTGTGTCAAGGGGAGTGTCAGCCATCTCTCCTTTTAGAAACATTCTTCCATCTGAACATAAAAACCATTTCAAGAATAGATTTGGTGCACATGAATGACTGAAGACCAGATGATTTGTGAGAGGACAGCATCCATGACGAAATCAAAAGATCATTAAAAATACAGGAAAGGAGAAAACCAAAGTGGATATAAGAGTAAACGGAAACGTAGGATTATATCCTATAGTAGATGTTGGAGAAAACCAAAGTGGATATAAGAGTAAACGGAAACGTAGGATTATATCCTGTAGTAGATGTTGGTAGAACTTGAACTTGATTGAATTGTTTTCCCCAGACTACATGTATACAGTGATATAATGTGGAAGCTATGACATGATCCCGCATGATTGAAAAATCAGATAGTTATTGAATGAGATTAAGGGTGGTATCTAGTACTCTCTCCCTAATCCCATCACAACCTCAGGCAGATGTAAGGGGGGTTCCTCTAGGGTTTGACGAGCAATAGGAGATAAAAGGGAGGGAAGTGACCCAACAGGGGCCCTAAGAACAACTTCGAAATAATCACCAGGAGTGGAGTGGTCATTTGGGGTCCAGGCCCCTCAGTGATGAAGCTCCTTGACACTGGGAAGGCCAGAACAGTTGGAGGTCTTCAGGCAACACTAGGCGTAAAGATTAAAGATGCTGAAAACAATAAAGACTTTCCTCCAGAGCAGACAGAGAGGACCTTCTCACAGGGCTGGACTACTGGTTAATGGACTTCTAGACTCCTAACTATAGGAGAATGTAGTCATCCACAGTCGGACCTCTGTTACAGGACATTAGATCACTGAGGCATCACAGAACTTGTGTCAAATCCGGGTGGGTTTTCAGTCCTCGAGGATGCTTAGCCTCATCCTTTGTGCTTGTGTACCCTGAAGCACCCACACCTTGCTCACCCTCTGTGCGTGGGCTGTTTTAGGATTCAGTTGTCATGGAAGATGTGGCTGTGGTGTTTAGCCAGGAAGAGTGGGCTTTGCTGGATCTTGTTGAGAGGAATCTCTACAAAGATGTGATGATGGAAACCTTCAAAAACCTGGCCTCAGTAGGTAAGAATGACATTTTTTTAAAAAAAAACCTCATTAGGTGGGGGGGGGTTTCTGTTCATTGAGATTAGTTTAATATTTGGGCTGAGGAATGGCAGTAAGTTAAACTGGTAAGGCCCCTTTTTCGTGGCCCTCAAATATCCTGTCTTCTCTGAAGATAAAGAAAATGAATGTGTATTAAAAAGAGTTTTCTGTATAATGGAGTGGACCTCAGGGGAGGGATAGTAAAACAATGAAAGAATTTTTCTTTTACTTTTCAAGACGGTAGTGTACTGGGGAGAGG